TTCTTTTCTGCTTTTAAATAATCAGGAAACTTTTGTGTCCCTCACCCAAAGAAGCAGGATCAATAAAGGAGAATATTTGTAGCTCAGGGTTGAAATGAGAGATCCTTGATGCTCTCTGAGCTTGCTTGTTTTCTTGCAGATGTTTCATTGCCCTAAAAAGATAATGAAGGCAAACAGCTCTCCTTACTAGCATTGACGGTGTTACCTAGTTAGGGTAATGAAACCTCTGCAAGAAAACAAGCTAGCTCAGAGAAATAGGCTCAGATGAGTGGTAGAGTGTTCTTATCAAGGCTAAACATAAAATGAATAGACATAATCAGCTATTAACGTTAGAAAAGCAAAAGAGGAGATTGCACAGTATACCATTAATGGTGTCTTATCAGTAGGTGTCATTCACTGGATCAGAAAAGTGAATGAGACCTGCCCACAGAATGACTAACGGAAGTATTACAGCTAATTACAAGCTACAGGTGAATCCTAGACCTTGATCATGTGGCATTCAGTTCCGTGGTTGTTGTTTTTTTTTTTTTTACAGTGGATTATGTGAGAAGGAGATAAAATCAATTGTTTACGGGAGAAAACCATAAATAGTGCTAAAGTTTCAGCTTCCTGCACGATCTTTCAAGCTACAGAGTAAGTAATTTATCAGTTTTCAGAGACACGGGAAGTGAGAAATTAATTTTTCAGAAGTGGGGACACTAAAACAATGTAATTGATTAGCCCATGAAGTTGATTTGCTTAACTCATCAAACATTCATTTTGAATTAATAGATTGACTGGTTTAGAATAAAATTTAGGCAATAAAATCCAGAGATAAATTCTGGAAATTGTTCCTAGGCTGATTTTTTTAAAAAGTTTTTACAGACCCTCTATTTTAGAAAAAAATAAAAACTAAACTAAGAAACTTGGGTTTCCAAACCTTGTTCTACTTTATCTAACTATAAACAATTATTCTGTTAATCTGGACACAATATCAAAAATAAGTGATGTGCAACCAGGAGAGAGAAATACAACAATAATTATAAAAACAAGATTTTGAGTTTTATTGTGGTAGAATAATATTAAAAGTGAAAACTAGCTAAGAGTGTGAAAACTGTCTATACTTTAGGTTACATATTTATATACATAGGAGAATTACAATCTTTGTAACTTTTTCAGTGATAATCCTCTGCATACAATAAAGGCTGAATTCAAAGATGTTTTGTTATTACTGGATGGTTGCAATACAAAAGGCCACACCTGGAATAACTGCATTCAGTTTTGGTCGCCACGATGTAAAAAAGATGTGGAGACTCTAGAAAGAGTGCGGAGAAGAGCAACAAAGATGATTAGGGGACTGGAGGCTAAAAGATATGAAGAACAGTTGCAGGAACTGGGTATGTCTAGCTTGATGAAAAGAAGGACTAGGGGAGACATGAAAGCAGTGATCCAATATCTCAGGGGCTGCCACAAAGAAGAGGGAGTCAAACTATTCTCCAAAGCATCTGAGGGTAGAACAAGAAGCAATGGGTGGAAACTAATCAAGGAGAGAAGCAACGTAGAACTAAGGAGAACTTTCCTGACAGTTAGAACAATTAATCAGTGGAACAACTTGCCTCCAGAAGTTGTAAATGCTCCAACACTGGAAGTTTTTAAGAAGATGTTGAATAACCATTTGTCTGAAGTGGTGTAGGGTTTCCTGTCTGAGCAGGGGGTTGGACTAGAAGACCTCCAAGGTCCCTTCCAGCTCTGTTATTCTATTCTATTCTAAAATAATGACTTATTGAATTTACATATCAAATGTCTCACATAGAGTTTTTAAAGAGAAAGTACAGGTAGTTCTCAGTTTACAACCATTTGTAATCCATGCATCCTCAGTCCAGTTTTAAAAATCATTTGAAATTCTGGCTCAAAATGTCAAAATTGTTTGACATAGTATTATGCCCTTATTAGCATGTATTTCTGCATTGTTATATCTTTTTATTCTCTGTGTATATATATTCTGCATTAATATACTTATCCTGGATAATTTGTTCATTTTACGTTGATGGTTTATGACCATAATAAACTCAAACTGTATCATATCAGCATATATTAAAAGAACTAGTTGGAAACCACTGTGATAGAGAGCAAAGCAGAAACAGTACTGTTGAGCAGAAACAATATGTTTTTGTAAAAACAAAAGGTATATAACTTAGCAAGCTATATCATTTTTAATATGCTAGGAACATTAGTATTTTAAACAGGTTCCAATGTATTGCATATCAGTTTATATGTATTTTCTTGCCTTGTTAATTCACATCTTCATTTAATTAAACATTTAAATAAAATCAACATTGTCCTCCAAGCTCTTGGTTCAAAAAGTGGATCACACATGTTATTTTATTTAATTTGCATTTCCTTTTGAAGAAAAGGTGATGGAACTACTAGACTTTGATTTATATAAATATATTCATTCCATTAATTAAATTGATTGGGACTTCCTGGGAGATTTATTTATTTATAGAATTGCCCAGATTACTGTGTCTCTGGGTGCCTTATATTAAACAAGAAACAAAATAAACAATTGCAACCAATAGCACAACAACACAATAAAATATCAGAATTAAAAGTCAAAATCTTGATGTGAATAAATATAAGAAACCTTTGATTTGATCATTCCATAATCCTGGTAAAAGAAATATCCAATTTCTCCTCTATGATGGTCTATTTTGAAGGTCAGAGGCTGTAACTCCTGTCCATCCATTCCTGTCTAATAGGTTGCAGGAATCCTTTTACTGATGTACTAAAATGGCTAAATTTCAGCAGCCAGATTCTGGGGCAGTCTGGGAGGCATTAATAATAGACAGAGGAGGAAATTTTCTAGAGACCTTCTGTTCCAACTCCCATTTTTATCTGGGGACGCCCAAACTTATTTATAAAAAAACTGGCTATTTTTGTCAACTTTCATGAGGTTTCAGGTTGCTGGGAAGGATGTAAATCAGTGGTGGGTTTTTACCAGTTCACCCCGGTTTGGGCAAACCGGTAGTGGTGGCGGTGGGAGGCTCCGCCCACCCACTGGACATCATCACGTACACCCTGCACATGCGCAGAAGCGCCACACACAAGCAAAGCAAGTGCATGCACGCGCTCCCAATTCCAAACCTGTAGCGAAGGTAAGTAGAACCCACTACTAATGCAAATGGAATGCTGTGTGATAGTATGCAGATCATAGGCTGTGGTAATTTTTTTCAACATTTCTGCAATTGAGCTTGAATTCCTGCACTAGTTGCCATACCAGTTATCACTATTCCACAGATCATCCTTAGATCAACTTTCTTTGATGCCTTCTTACTAATTATAATACTGATTTGGCTTCATACAGAGATGGGTTTCACATAATTTTACCATTGGTTCACCACACATCGAAAATGTGAGTGTGCTCATGCTTTGCTTGTGCACAAGACTTGCATGCATACGCACCACTTAGAAAACATGGCTAATGAGGATGGCATAGCTTTGGGGCGGGGGGGCAGGGGGGCAGGGGGGCAGGGGGGCGGGCCCACCCAAACCACTACTGGTTCACCTGAACCATTCCAAATAAGCTGAATAACACCACTGGCCAGGTTCCTTTAATTCCTTGTGAACTTTAAAGTATGCAACAGCCACTTCAGAAAAGAGCCACACACTTTAATTAACTGGTTTGATTACCTTGTTCTTCCAAGAAATCCCTCATGTGAATCAGGGGTGGGTTCTAGTTATTTTTACTACCAGTTCGCAATATGGCCGCACATGCGCAGATCGTCATTTATGACATCCTGGTGGGTGGGCGGAATCTCCCGGCAATTTTACTACCAGTTCTATAGAACCGGACAGAACCGGGAGCAACCCACCACTGATGTGAATGCTTTTTATTCCACCCTTTATCTTCTAGATAAGAAATAGACAGGTCTACTGCATAATTCCATATTTTACATAAGTAAATATGTAAATTTGCACCTGCCAGGGCATTATTTCTGTGATAGCAGTGGCCAAGAAACTCTTCATTATGAGATACAGGAAATCCTCAAATTAAAACCACAATGGAGTCCAAAATTTTTGTTGCTAAGTGAGACATTTGATAAATGAATTTTGCCCCATTTTACCACCTTTCTTGCTACAGTTGTTAAGTGAATCACTGGCGTTGTTAAGTGAGTAACGTGGCTTTCCCATTGATTTTGCTTGTCAGACTTTTTTATCAAGAGGTCATAAAAGCTGATCACAGGATCCAGGATACTGCAACCGTCATAAATAGGAGTCAGTTGCCAAGTGTCTAGATTTTGATCATGTGACCATGGGGATGCTGCAACAATTTGTAAGTGAAAAATGGTCATAAATTATTTATTTCGGTGCTGTTGTAATTTTGAAAGTTCACTAAATGAAAGGTTGCAAGTTAAGGACTACCTGTATTAATACAGAGAATATCAGACTTATTACCACGCTAAGTGACTTTTTAAACCTCACCTTTCTTAAAGCTCTCTGGTCCCTAATCTATTTAGAAAACCATCTTCTAGAGAATAATATTCTGAGTCATGTCCACCAAGGCTTTTTTGGTCATACAAATCTGGACACTAAATCTAGAATTCTTTTTTTTTAAAGTTTTTTATTAGTAATTCAAAATTAAAAACATTGGACATAGCTATAACATCACTGGCCCCAAGCATCTTCCAACACTTTAAGTTAATACATAATATACTACTAAATCTAGAATTCTATTGACTTGTCTCTATTCAACCATTCTTTCTAATTATCCAAGAGCCATTTAGAACTGAAGACTTTTGCATTTCTACATCTGTACTTATAACATGTCCGGGTTTTATTTCTTCGATATGGTTCTCCATCACCATTTGACCCCTTGGTAAAAAGAGAAGGTGGTTATTTTAGTCCTCTTTCCTCAAGTGAACAACCCTTGACTGCTAGAATGAATTTGACATTTTAAAACAGGGATATATTTACACTGCCATTTGGCTTCTGGACATTTAGTTGGCTAAGGAATGTCCCACGTTGCCTGGGGTTTGGGTGATTTCAGTTTGAATTTCAGTCCTGAGAGATCTTCCTGGATGTTTCTGGGAAGACTGCAAAAGTCATTTGTAGCTTTACTTTGATGAAGCACAAGTCTTGACGCAAGAGAGAAAGGCATTGGAATGAAAAGCTGCATTCGCTGCTTTCCCTTGACTATGAATGGGTTAAGAACACATGTTTATGTAGTTTGTTATTCACCTTGGGATACATATGCAGAAACGCATGGCTTTTTGTTGGCTTAGGATGAAAATGCTTCTAAAAACCAAAAGTTTTTCCACATCAAATATTTTTACCATTTTTAATGCTTTCATAGAGAACTCTGTGTCCAAGTACTTGAAAAGTATCAAGGGCATATACATATATACAAAAAAAAAAAAAAAAATCAGTCACAAAGTGACTGGCAGAAAATAAATAAATAAATTGGAAACACGATGTTTGTATATCTAGGAGAGGCATTCACAATACTTCTCTTTTTAAAAATAACCACTAGGAATAAAAGCAAAGAAATGTGTTCAGTGCTGAAATCTGGAGAGCCCAATTATTATTCAATCCTTCGGGAGTAGGGCGGTATACAAATCAAATAAACTAACTAAACTAATCCAACCATAGTGTGATGGTATAAGGAAGGCAGAGCAAAGTGGCATAGTTTATTTATTTATTTATTTGTCATATTTCTATGTCGCCCACTCTCCGAGGACTCTGGGCGGCTTACACCAAAGACAGTGTACTAAATAGCATATTGCCCCCAACAATCTGGGTCCTCATTTTACCCACCTTGGAAGGATGGAAGGCTGAGTCAACCTTGAGCCGGTGAGATTTGATCCACTGATCTGCTGAACTAGCAGTTAGCTGAAGTAGCTGTAGTACTGCAGTACTCACTGCGCCACCCGGGCTCATTTGTTTGACTCGCTCTCCCCCCAAAACAGTTTTATTTAAACATTTTTGCAAATACTTGCACATTGCTTATGACAATGTAATTATAAAAACAATAAAAATGTAATATAAGCAATATTGAGATAACCTGATCTACGGAGATTAGAGATGGGAAGTTATGTTATCACAAAATCAGTACAACACCCATCACACCCATCACATCAGGATTTAGGCACAATCCTTTCTAAACTGAAGTCACATTTTTGCCTTTGATTGCATGGTAATGACTACATTCCCAAATGTGAGTGAAGCCATGGCAAAAACATAAATTTGACATAAATTAGTATTATTAATTTCCCCTTCCCTGCAGTGTAATAATTTGATACTTCTGTTAGATTACCAAACTACAAATTGGAGGTCATTTTGGGAGCCAAATCCAAATAGTATCACTCTACTGTCTATGTTCATGTCAGAATGTGAAAAAAGCACAATCAGACAAGACAAAGTAGGGTTCAAAAAAAAATAAGCATTGGCCCTAGAGTTCCAAAAATACCCAACTAAGCAAAGACTTTGCTCATGACCTCACCCACATATGATCACAGCAGGGGTGGGTTCTACTTACCTTTACTACCAGATCGCATCGTGCCCATGTGCTTCTGCGCATGCGCAGATCACTTCTGATGATGTCCGGGTCAGTGGGTGGAGCCTCCTGCCAGTTTTACTACCGGTTCTATAGAACCAGTCCGAACCAGGAGCAACCCACCACTGGATCACAGGTGGAGAGAATTAGTCCACTCACAACAGTGGGTGGGATGTGTGAGGACCTTGGTACAGAACATGCATGTCTGTAAACCAGGAGAAAAATATGGGCAATCACATATTTCCCATTGATTTATTTGGATTTGGCACAGGATTGAGAAGTTGTGTCATTTCAGAGGCAAATGTAGTAAAGTTGAAGTTCTTTGGACTTACACTCATACCGAATTAAACACAGTAGCAAGTAGCATCAACTGGGTATTTGTTTTTCTCCACCCAGTTGCAGATATCATGAATGTAGAAGTGACAGAAACCTAGTTGAGCCAAGGAATTGATCACACAGATCTTTGGCTTAAACTTCTCCCTAACCCTGGCAACACTCCAAATATAATATATGCCAAGGAATCCATTCCATTAATATTCCCTGAAAGGACCACCTTGAATGATGGCCCTGAGCTCATAAGTATCTGGTCACAGCTCATAATTTGTGGCTGGTGTATAATAGATGGGAAAGAGGGAGGGTTTTTTATTTATTTATTTAACACTTTACAATCCCCATAACACACCCATATATGCATAATGCCTATGTCTTTATTAAAGTCTAAAAAAATGAAAGATTCTCATAAGTTCTCAGTAAAGTAAAGTAGGAGTCTTATGTTCTTTCTGGAACATTCTCCATGGAAGGAACATCTTCATGTTTCATGGAATGTACATGGCTACAAAAATTTCCTGGAACAAATTGAGTTATCAGTTTCCTGGAACAACTGATAGATACATCTTGGGTAATGCTTTTTGCCAAGGCATAAGCCTGTCTTTTTGTCTTCACATAAAGGAATATGGGGTGGATCATGCACATGTGGGATAATGGCCTGTGGAAAGGGTAGTAGAATATAAAAAATATAAATCAGTGGGTGATCACAAGGGAATTGAGCAAACTGGATATTCTTTTATTGCTTTGAATTTTAAATCAATAAACATCCAGGGCCTGATAATGCCCATATATTGAATCTGATGATGAACACATTGATATTTCTATATAATAATTCCTAAAAAACTTCATTGATATCTGAATTTATCAGACTGAACACCCCATTTTTACAGAAAAACCACTTTGCTTGGAACTGCCTGTTATTCTTAGACAATACTTAATTATTCTTAGGTTCTTGGTTAGGACTTGAATTATTAAGTTTCCACAAGCCTCAGACTGTGACTCTAACTCTAGATCACCCGCACATAATGTATTAAAATTATATTCTGCCCAACTTTCACTGACTCTGGATAGCTCACAACAATCAAAGAAAGAAATTAAAATCAAGTAATCAGTAAAATCAATAAAACACAAATGCTAAAGCTAAAAGATGGGAGGTATAATAGAGTTAGGGCAGGGGTGAAATCCAAAATTTTTCCCTACCGGTTCTGTGGGTGTGGCTTGGTGGGCGTGGCAGGGGAAGGATATTGCAAAATCTCCATTCCCACCCCACTCCGTTGGAAGGATACTGCAAAATCTCCATTCCTTCCTGTCCTGGAGGAAGGATATTGCAAAATCTCCATTCCCACCCCACTCTGGGTGCAGCCAGAGGTGGTATTTGCCGGTTCTCTGAACTACTCAAAATTTCCACTACCGGTTCTCCAGAACCTGTTAGAACCTGCTGGATTTCACCCCTGAGTTAGGGGGCTTCACTCTCCCTCAGCAAAGATCTGTGTGAAGAGCTAGGTTTTCACAGCTCTTCTAAACAACAGAAGTTGTTGGGGGCCTATCTGGATCTGGGAGAAAGAAGGACCTTTAGATGTTTTCAACCTAAAACTTCAAAGCACTTCTTAATATTGTTACACATAGAGTTTGTCTTGGTTTCATCAATGACATTTATCTTTCCATTGTTTTGTTCTCCTCAGATCTGCCTTTGAATCTCAGGGACTTCTCTATACCTTTCCTTTCCTTTTCAAACAAATCTGAACTGCATGGTGATTTGATCATAAGATGGCATTCATTATTGTGTAGTTATCTAATGACCTGAATGATAAATGTCATCTGTTGGCCATGCATATTTATAACTGTGTCTTCTTGAGGATCTGTTTTAAGGTTGTTAATATAAGGTGAGCAGAGGCCACAAAGACAGCTAGGGACTTTGCTATATATCTTTCCTACAGTGACACCCGAATGTATGTAAAAGTCATAAACTGCTCTTTCTTGTACAAGCCATTGTTTTGTACTGTTGGGAAACAGGGTTATAATGCTCTAAAGTCTACCATAACAATTATTCATGAGAATGACCTTGACCAAGGCATGTACTTGAAAAGCTCAATTTCATCAACAATAAAATTTATTTGACATTTTTACCTGTCTCCGAGGGATTATTTAATGTCTTTTCAAAGCTTTCAACTTTCAAAACAAATTCAAAATCCCAAATATAATTGCAAATACATACCAATAAAGGTGTTAAATAGGGAAGAATTGTTTTTACAATTAGCCATTAACTTATACAAGTGGCACATAAAACAGAAATATTGCCTCTATGCATTACCAACACCTTATCAAAGGAAAATAGATCTAACCATAAATAACCACTGATGTAGACTGCAAGTTGACAAGACTATACTTTATTTACTTATCCTTAGAAATTTCCTTTTTTTTCTCATCAAGTTGGCCTTAGCATGACTTTTTCTGTAAAACGAGAAATTAAAAGGGGGAAATCAAGGTTTACTTTAGGAACAAAATAATACTGTATATTTTCTCAGTAAAGTTAATAAAAATATTGCAAGACAAGTAACTTTACAAGGTCTTCAGATTTTACAGTAAAGGATTTCTGATGCATGCTAGCACAGAGCCCTCCTCCCTCCCTTCTTTCCTTCCTTTCTTCTGATTTTTTTCTTCTTGGACAAACTTTTAGTGGCCTTAGGATGACAACAAGGACTGCCCCCCTTTTGCCAAGCATGTTGTCAGGAATAGCATAACTGTTACAATCCCAATATCACTCACTGCCTATTTGTACCCCAACACAGAGACACATATAAACATATAGGACAGCATCATGCAGTGAATTTCAGGTAGAATTGAGCCCTGCAATGGTTAAAGTGCAGTATTGGAGACTAATTCTGTCTGGAGTTCGATCCTGACCAGCTCAAAGTTGACTCAGCTTTCCATCTTTCCGAGGTCAGTAAAATGAGCAGCCAGATTATTGGGGGCAATATGCTGACTCTGTAAACCACTTAGAGAGGGCTGTAAAGCACTATGGATCAGTACATATGTCTAAGCGCTATTGTTATTACTATTGCTATTGCTAACTTTTAGACCTTACCAGCAATGCTCACCATTGGAAGGGTCACAAAAGCAACTTGAACAAATATGTGTGTCTGGGTGGTGTGTGGTTTGAGTCAGTGTTGTCTCCTGACTAGTCCCTGGATGAATCCCTGCAATTATCTTTTCAGAAATGGTTTGCCATTGCCTCCATCCCAGGGCTGAGAGGGAGGGATGGCACAAGGTTACTTGGTTGGCCTTTCACCTAAAAACTGTTTCTAGCCTGGTGCCTTAACCACTGAACCAAACTGACTGACTCAGGGGTGGGTTCTAAATTTTTTTACTACTGGTTCTGTGGGCATGGTTTATTTTGTGGGCGTGGCTTGATGGTCATGTGACAATTCTTTAGGATTTAGCAGAAGTACTGCTCTACCAGGCTTTTAACTGCTTGCAGAGCTGTACCGGTCTACTCATTTGATTTTGGAGGCACTGGTCTACCCATTTATTTTTGCAGGCACCGGTCTACTCATTTGTTTTTGGAGGCACCGGTCTACCACCACACTTCCTTTTAACACTGATCAACTGTAGGGCGGCCCTTTGAAGCCCCGTGGCAAGAGTTTAAACAGCCTTTTCCTTATAGCCAATCAACTGGGACTCAGGAGGCAGCAATAGATTGGGGGTGGAGCCAAATAAAAGGTAAGAATAATGTGGGGGGGCAGGGGGGCAGAACTGGTTCGGTGATGTCATATCGTCACCGCTACCGGCTTGGCGGAACCGGGCAGAACCAGGAGGAACCCACCACTGAACTGACTGACTGACTGACTGACTGACTGACTCACTTCTCTCTCTCTCTCTCTCTCTCTCTCTCTCTCTCTCTCTCTCTCTCTCTCTCTCTATGTCACATCTGTCTATTTATCTATCTCTAGCTAGCTAGCTATATATAAATTTCAAAGATATAATCCTTTCTTGCTATCATTAATTGATGGTAAGCAATTTTTTAAATAAATTTAAATTTGTGACTATAGCCACCTACGTGAGGAGAAAGCTCTGACTTGAGGCAAGCTAGAGGTGCTTTCTCTCTGATTGGACCCAAAGATGCCCATGATTTTTGACAACTTTCATGTCACTTGTGACTCCCCTTTATGACAGATGCTTGCCCTAGGCTGAACTCTGCTACATGGGCCTTTCTGCATCAAGAATATTGTGCTTGTCTATTTCATATATATATATTCATATCCAGATATTTGCCATTGGGACATGTATCTGTCAAATCACTAAGTAACTGAACTTGTTTTGCTTCTCTGCTTCTTATTTATAAAGAAGGCAAACATAAAAACAAGTTGCACATCGATGTCCTTCAGGAGGTCTGAACAGTATATATATTTTTGCAGTCAACACAAAGACTGGTATGGTGCCACTGTATTACAGGGAAGACAAATTATATAAATTTGGGTGGCAGTGAGGAGTTATTTCTGATGATTCCTACATAGCCAATTCATCTATGGGCATTCCACACCACTACCATTTTCTCTCCCAAATCCTCCTAAATAGAAAGTTGAGCATTCCCTCCAGCTGACTAATAAAAGGCCACAAAAAAATAGCAATCAGCCAGTGTCTCACCACCCCACAACCATGCTGTGTTCTGGGTGATTTATGAGACCTCTTAGCTGTGGCTTTAGAGGGAGAGCTGAAAAGCCAGAGAGGCACTTTTTGAGCTGCCTGATTTTAAACAAAGTAAATCTGCTGGGCTGCCAAACTCAGATGATGATCTGGGGTAGAGCAGATATAGTTTTGATTCAGAAGCAGCCCAAGAACCGCATATTGGACAGCTGAGGATAAATATTATAATAAGAAAGACCAGCATGATTTGTTCCTAGAGTTTCTTTGTAATTGCCTTTCCATTCAAAGAGACATAGCGTAAGTTGGTCTCCATTCCAGATAAGTTATGCTACAGACAGAAAGTACATTAGAAAATTCTAGCTGGGGATTGTTATTACACAGACCACTGTCTTTAGGCAGGATTAAAGAGGTCATTCCCTCCCTCCCTCCCCTATACACACACACACACACACACACTTCAGATGGCATTTCTAGTGTCCTGACTAAACTCTCCTTGGATTAATTATTATTTTGCCCTACATAAATCCAAGCTACCGTTATAATTATGAAGAATATCAATTATGAAGAATATCAAAAATGCATCAAGTTCTCTTGATGTCCTTCAAAAAGGCAAGCATGTCAACATTTTTTTCCCCTGTATACTTCCCTCAGGAATGTCTCCCACCAGCTTACTGCAATTCCCACCCAGAACCACTACTGGGTATCATCTCTGCATACTTATGAATTCTCACTGTTTAAAGAAACAGGAGCATCTCTGTCAGAACAAAGCAAAGCAACAAACACCACTCTCCCTTCTTTTCTTTTCTTTTTTTATTAAAAAGTTTTATCAGGCATACAACAATTTCTCCCCCTTCCAAACAGATCATGACTGATATAATTCCAAATTTTTTAAGCTCTTTAAACACTTTTTCAAGATAGGGCTACCTGTTCTGGCTAATAACCCATCCACCATCTTCGGGAGCTTCCTTTGGATGTGAGGAGAAAAGTTCAGGTGCCTTTGGGAAGAGAAAGAAGCAAGGAAGAATTGAGATGGGGATGTTCAACTTTCTCACTTCTCACCCAGTTGTTTCCTCTGATCTTCTCCCTTCCTATCTTCTGTTCTGCCTAAGTGGTTAATCTGAAATATAAATCTGATCTTTTATCTCCCGGGGAGAAATTCAGCAAAGAAAATTTATTTTGAACAAACCAACCAATCTGAATGAAAAGGATAAATAGTTCTATTTGTATTCCTGTCAGTCGTCCGTTAATTCCTTCCATCAAGAAACTTGACAAGAACCAGCACTTTTGTTGTTTGGCTAATCTTAAAAAAAAATTTCCCCCCTGCAGTGCTTAAAAAGATATTGTATCTTAACATTTATATTTTATCTCATGTTTGTAAACTGCAGCCAATTAGTAGCATAATGAGAACTCACTCTATAGAGTTTCTTTAATTTATTTTATTATTCATATTTCTATGCCGCCCACTCTCCGAGGACTCTGGATGGCTTACACCAAAGACAGTATACTGGATAGCACATTGCCCCCAACAATCTGGGTCCTCATTTTACCCACCTCGGAAGGATGGAAGGCTGAGTCAACCTTGAGCCGGTGAGATTTGATCCACTGATCTGCTGAACTAGCACTCTGACCACTGTGCCACCTCTGCTCTTTATTTACTTTCAGAGGGTCCCTATGTTGAAACAAGCATAACATGCAGGAAGAACAATATGGTTTTTCTGGATCTTTAACAGTCGCTTGAACCATCCTAATCTACTGAGAGTCCGCTGATAACCCCTTGACTCAAATTATCAAACCTACTGCACTGAAGTGATTGTATAAATGTCTATCTTCCTTATCTAGGCTAATATATTGGAATGCAGCCCCTCAAATTGTGATTATAATTTCACTTTTCACCTGACAGCGCCATCCATAAATCACAATATCATTAATTCACAGTGATTAGCCCATTAATACTGTTAATCAGGCAAATGGAATGTACCAACCTTGTTTGCATATCCTTGATTTTGTCATTTAATATCAGTCTCTTACAAATGTTTATTGCTGTATTGCTTGTCTACTTTATTTTTCTTATCTTTATTTTATTTTATTGTAAAATTACAAGACCGGAGGCCATGCCATTGCAAATACAGTCATGCCAGGCCTATTTTATTTAAATGCCCATGCCACCAGTTCTATCACAAAAGGATCTTGATGGCACCTACTTGGTAGAATGAACAGCATCCCTGAACTTGATTTCAAAGGTTGAACATCCTCCAAGAATACAGTATTTTTTTCCTACTATTCACCATGCTTGAAAAACTCTTTAGACATATACATGGGCATCCACAGGGTCTAATGCTTTTATCAAAATTATCAAAGCACAATCGAGTCATTAGGATTCAAGCTCGACTCCTTTTGTACCTATGGGGGCCACTAAAGAGCCTTGGTAGTACAGTGGTCTAAAGCACCCTGTTATTAAGACCAGCTGCCTGCAATTACTGCAGGTTTGAATCTCACCAGGCTCAAGATTGACTCAGCCTTCCATCCTTTCTAAGGTAGGTAAATTGAGGACCCAGTTGTGGGGGCAATAAGCTGACTTTGTATAAATATACAAAAGGATGAAGGCTATTGCTTAGCACATTGTAAGCCGCCCTGAGTCTCCGGAGAAGGGCGGCATATAAATCAAATAAAAAAACAAAAACAAAACTATAATGCAGACACAAAAGGACCAGAGTTTCCACTGCAACATGTAGTGCAACAGAGTTTTCATCATCATCATCATCACTACCCAAGTGAATGCTTCTAGGTGTGCATTGAGTAGCAAAATTGCAGGTTGGAAAGGCACAATTCCTCACCTTCTGAGGTAATACTTTTTGAAAGGACCATGGCCCTCTTTTGGTGGGATACATTTTCCCACCATGGGAGCCTCAACTGCAGGAAATACTCTCTACCCCACCCTACAAATACAACCTTTCCCCCCCTCAATCTTAATTGCCAGTCCCATTTATAGGGTAAAGATTTGGGAGAGGTGGATCAAGTGGGTAGACATCTTGTTGAAAGTGGACCTTTCCTTCACCTTTTCAACTAATTTTCAGTAGGATTTAATTATCCTTACCTCCTTTAAAAAATTTAATTCTAACTTTTTAATTTTTAGATACCGGTTTTGTATTTTGATACTGCCCTCTTTGAGGGAGAAAGGCAGGTCAGAAATATGAAAAATAAATAAAAATTAATTAATGTGCAAATCTAATCAGTATTGGTCACGGGGATAATCTGCAAAGGCTCTCAAGCACATTTGTGAGGCCATAAAAGGTTGGAAGTCTGTGGGTACGTGTCCCTGAGTGAGGTTGTTACAGAGAAGATCTTCAGAATAACCTATGTAAGACTGGCAGAGTATGTAAATCTCAACCTTTGGGTCTAATAATCAGAAGAAAAGGTGCTTCCTCTTGAGAACTCCATCTCTGAATCTGAATCCACTCAAGTGTAGCTAGCTCTGAACTTTTGCCATCCAGTCAAGTGTGTGGGCTTGTAGATGTGTTTTTGCCACACATAAACTTCATTCTGTGATCTTCTTTCCATTTCTCAAAAGGAAGCTGGAGCAGCTGGGTGGCCTGCTCTGAGTTTTTCCCCTTCTGGAAGAGGAATATATTTTTTTCACTCAGTAAAGGTTAATAGACTGAACTTAACACTGACCTCTCAATGAACAGAGGGCATTTCTGGCATCCCACTGAGTTGGACTGGGGCATCTATCTCTATCTCTATCTCTATCTCTATCTCTATCTCTATCTCTATCTCTATATCATCTATCTATACACACACACATACATCAGTATCATTATATGAACAGTGAAGTATCTGGATATCATTGATTTAAATGCAAATAATAATAGTAATATTAATAATATTTGTTACATTAATCATACTTATGTAATTGTGATGTTATTGTACATATTTGTATTAGAGTGTGTTCCTTAGTTGTTTAGTTGTTCAGTGTTTTTGTGTGCCATTCTAAGAATAATCACAATATTATTTAAACGGACATAGTGATACCATCTTTCAACATCTAATCTTTACATCTAGCTATTACTTTTAGTATATTATATAAACATATGTATAATAATATTCCCCTTGATCTTGTTTCTACTTCTATTCTAGCTCTCAATAAAGCCAATCTTATATTAAACAGCATTCCCTTTCTAACCATCATCTCTTCCCCGCTTTACTATTTCAATTCTTATTCCTTTCTTGACTTGCCTTTCAAACTCCTCCCTTGGATCTTTGTCTCTGTCTACATCTTTCCTATTTAACCCAAATATTTCTTCCATCTCTACTATCTTTTGCTGCCATACCTCCGAAGAATCTGCCCAAGCCCCTATTTTCTCTTAAAAATATCTTTCTTTTTATCCAATCCCATTTTTTGATCTCTTAATATATATTGTCCCTTATTTGATTCATAAGTCTTTATTGTCTAATCCTTCTTCTCTTCTTGTTTTATTTATTGATTTATCTGTTCTTTGTTTTCCTCTTGTATTTTTTTTTTAATTTGATTTATATGCCGCCCTTCTCCGGAGACTCAGGGCGGCTTACAATGCGTTAAGCAATAGCCTTCATACTTTTGTATATTTATACAAAGTCAGCTTATTGCCCCCACAAACTGGGTCCTCATTTAACCTACCTTAGAAAGGATGGAAGGCTGAGTCACTATTCAGACAAATAATTCCAGCATTTTAAAATTCCTTACCAAAATATTGCCAATAAAGTTTAAAAATCCAATCTTTCTATATTTTAAAGATTTTGCACTCTCCCTTTAGTTTCTTTTCTTTTGGGTCTATAATTTTTCTCTCTGTAATTATTCACCGCTTTGACAAGCATTTCAAAGAGTCTCTTTTCCAGGGTTTATTTTCTTTGGGGTTAGGTTTTAGGTAAAAAAAGAATCACTTCACCCAGTCCCAATCCCTGTACATCTACACCACTCCAGACATTCTTTGTTTTTTTTGGCTGCCCCAGCTTCACGGCAGCCATAATGGCTGCCTCTCCTCTTTGTCGTTGGTTGGGAGGGAATTCCTGGGTCCAGCTGGAGAACTGCCACTCTCTGCAACCTGCAGGGTGCCCCTCATTTCTTCATCTTTAACCTCTTGGGGAGCCCTCCAACAAGGAGGATTCAGCACGAGTTCTCAGAGCCCCGCTCCTCGCGTCCGATCTTGCCATGATGTCAAACCGGACGTCCGGACTGGAGCCTTTTATGTTGCCTTTTTAGAGTTCTGAGAGCCTAGAGCAGCCTGACCTGAAAATTAACCAGTTTCACCAAATCAGACAAGGAAACAATATTCCAAAGCTTATACTCTGAACTCCCCTGGGTCTTCAGCTTCAAAAGAATTGTGGCTTCAGGAAGCCAAGCAGTTATTGAAAGGGTCCCTCTTCCTTATTCCCCTTCCTTATCCAAACCTCTACAAATACTGATTCCCCTTCCTTCTCCAAACATCTGCAAATACTGATTCCCACCAACTGCCAAGAGCTAGGAATATATGATGTTTCTCCTCTCTTCCCTCCCCTTTCTCTGAGATGGCTGTGATAGCCATTTTTGACATGCAAATTTGGTCCCAGATGTTCTTCCTGTCTGCTGGATGATTGTTTGTTAACAGGCACATTAAAATGCCCCTACCAGTCTGTTAGAACACCAAGTTGTAGGTGAACTTTAGGACTGATGTGGAACAGGCCTTCCAAGAAAACCTAGCTATGCTACTTGTTTTCTAGTGTACAGCTGGAAACATGAGAATTAAGACTGCTGGAAAGTATGGAAGGAGAATTTATATAACAGCTCAGCGTTCCATCCCCTATGCTTGTCTACATATAGCACAGTGATCCATCATCAGGCTGACAAGATGACATAGCCAATAAACCTGACAGATCAGGCACATCCTAATGCTATCAATTGAGCATTATTGAGACTGACCTTGAAGAACTGGGTGCAAGGTAAGAAGGACTGGCCTAAAAGAAATGTACAGTACAGCACA